TCCTGGCTTCCCTCCTAACCATGTCCTGGCTCACCTCCAGAGCTGCCAAGTTTATGCCAGAAGCAGGAGGTAGATTTGTATGGGGCTGGAGGAAGATCTGGAGCTCTGTTAAATTTTCAAGCCCAGATGGGGCAACATGATTTGTGTGTTTATGTCAGTATGCCATACATCACAACTATCTGTGTGCTGACGTCAGCTTCGATTGGACGTTAATGTGCTGAACACTGCAAACTAGAAAATACATGATAGATACAGATCTATGGCAACAATGCCACATAAGCAAATGTCTGTTTGGTGTGGCAATTCACTGTGCAAAATATTTCCCAAGATACACTGCATTAAGCCAGGAGAATATTTTGACACACTTTAAAAACAAATACAAAATCAGCGTGGACAAACAGACTCCAGTTTAAGAAAGCAAACCTGTTCAGAAGAAGAGCTGAAACCAACATATTGAAGTATGTATCATTAGGCAAATATTGAATTGCTGTCCCTCACTTTAATCTTTCCAGAATTAAGACCAAGTGGGAAAGATGCTAGTCTTAGGATTTGCAGGACTGTTAATGATGAGGATACCTTGCTGATGGTTGAGCATCTTTCTGTCCCCAGTTTTTGTAGCCCATTGTTATCAAAACCAGCAAGCAAAAACGTTAATGGACAGCAAACATTTTTTCAAATGATGGAATATTTTTTCTGTACCAAGAGTGTAGGTTAGCTTCCAGAAATCATCAGTGTTTATTTATTTATGTAACAAATTTGTGTTTCTTGCTTATACAAATAACATCCAGCAGCCTGCTGAAGAACTGGCAAAATGTGGTAATTTCTGGTCTGTGGATTTACAGAGGTCACTGCCTACTTCTGATTTATATTTATACCATGTTTATGTGATTGCCCCTGTAGAATAATGTGATCAAAAGTTTCCATTAAAATACAGATTACTATCTCTCTCTTCCTAGAAGAGGAAATAATGTGCAAGTCAGCTTTTAATATTTCAGGGGTGGATATAATAACAAAGCTTAGGGATTGATGTGTAGGCAGTGGTTTTTTACCTCAGATCACTTATGTTATTCCTCAGAAAGGAAATTCTGTAGTATAACACTATTTTACCATTATCCATCATTAGACTTTGTAGGTAAAATTGAAGTTCCCCGATTCCATAGGGATAGATCATTTTGGCGTGTGCACAAGTAGCGGCTTTGAAAGGAGACCAGCCCCCAGGATTTAATGCCATCTGGCCCATAAGGTGGGGAAGGGAGGGGGTGTGAAGGTACCATGGGATCGGTGGATTTAGGCCTTGTAACCTGAGCAGATTGGCTTGTGCAGGACAGGCCACAGGTTATTTGATGTAGTTGTCAAGAAACAGAATTCAGCTTATTCTTTGGTGGGAGTAGGAAATGTTCACCTTTCATGTCTGCTTCATAGGCTTCTCCGTGGCTAGGAAATATGCTGTTAGTGAAATGTGGGTTCATGAAAGCAATTGGTGTATTGATCACCATTTTAATAAACCTGTGTGTCAGTACAATGCATGGACTTTTCCAACATATCTAGGACTTTTTCCCTTCTCTCTGCTCCTAATTGCCTTATAAATTGTTGTTGTCACATCGTTTACCAGTGTTGGAATTGAGCTTTCATAATAAGCATCAGTCGTATAACTTATGAAAAAAATGCAGAATGTGCAAAATGATTTCAAATTAACAAAAATTACAAAACTATAACTTGGAGCTATGGAGGCCAATTCTTGATATTTGGAATGGATATTCTGAGGTGATTGGTCTTGATAGCCCTGAAGGTATGATGGGTATAGCACCTACAGCCATCAAGAGCAAGAGTATACCAGCAGTCCAGGCGGCATTAAGATAACTACATATCTTAAAGAAATATTTTGCTACTTAGCACAGATTTGTCTCTTGTTTTTTCACTCATTAAATACTGACATCATCAAAGCATTTAAGAACATTTTATCCTTAGTTACCTCTGAAGATCTCTGTTGTGACCTTTGAATGTTGCTTTCTGCTCTATAAAATTAAGCAAAGAAAACTATGAGAAAAACAGCTTATTTAAGACACGACAGCACATTGTTGCACAGGACATAAGGCATCACTTATAAATCACAAATATATTGAGAAATGGTAATGCAACTTGAAGCTTTAGATTCATATGTTGTCTAGAGAGGAACTTTTAGAAAGAAAAATACTGGAGAAGATGCTTTGGTTTCCCATGTTGTTTGATGACCAAAATGAATAATTGTGTGGGTTGTGCTTGCTCAAAATACTAGAGGTGATATGCCGAAGTGTATGACAACCCAAGGTTTTAAGAACACAAACAAAAGCTGGGCATCTGACTCATAGTAGAAGTCAATGAGAGGTGCTTGACTGCCACATAGCTTGTAAATATCTCTGATGTGAGCAAATGCTTATGCTATGAAGATTAGGAAAATACGGATTTAGCGCTGAGTTAGCCTGTTTATGGTTTCTGCTTATCAAACGTATGTTTTCTTTAGACAGAAATTTCAAGTCATGTTTGGTTTTTTTTTAAAGAAAAAAAGCCCTCTAATGTGATTTCTAAGTATTGATGACCTATTTTTTCCCTTTTGTCATTGAGAAGACCAGGGCTTACTCTATGAACATTAATTACCTTTTTCATCACGGAGGATGTGTATTTTGTTTCCATGTCTTACAGAATAAAGCAATTATGGAACGTGTAACAAACTTGTCAGATACGGTAGTTGGTCTTGAATCATTTATTGGCTCTGAGAGAGAAACCAATCCATTATACAAGGATTACCATGGTAAGTTCCATCTTTAGCAATGCAAAAAGTCTGCCCTGAGTGTTTCTAGGGCACTTAGCGGCTTACCCTCCAATTGGGTATCTGCTATAAAGTAGCGTTTGATTTCATTTTAGAATATACCTCTTAAATGTTTCTCCTTGCTAACCAGTCTTGAGTTAGGAAAATTTTCAGTAAAGTGCATTAAGGCTGCAAAGGAAACATGGCAACTCCTTGCATGTTGTCAAGCCGTATTACTGAGGCATGGCTCAATCAGATGTACATCTCAACAGGCAGGCTTTGGGGAATTCACATGCAGAGGAGGCTTGGCAATCATCTGACCAGTGAGCTGAACTTGTCATGAAATCAATACTTTTGATCTGCCAAGTTTTAAATAGAGAACACGGAAAAACATATATTATATTAAGGTGAATAAACTGCTAAATGACCTGCTTTATCTAAAAATAACATTCTCTTTTTCAGCTTTAAGTTACAGCACTTAGGCATTTAAAGAAATTAATGTGGATATGTGTGGCATGTAAAATATGAAACTAATTTTGGTAAGAAGTCATGTAGCCTTTCAAGTGATTTATCTTCAAAAAGTGTAGTGCTGTTTAATCTTGCATTTTGTTTCCCAAAGATTTTGTTAGGTGTTGCAGCAGAACTATTTAAATTTTTAAAGATTGGATTAGAAGTTATGCATAGCCAAAGCAGTGAATAACAGACAGTTTCAGCTAATCCGGAGCGGTGCTCCGAGTGTGCATAAATTACAGCTATTATTATTGTGATACTACTGTAGTTCCATGGAAACCTTTAGTTGAAAGTAAACTGCTTATCCGAAACCTGCTGTAAACATGTGGGAATGTGGCAGTGTTTTCCACAGCAGAATATATAGAAAAAGAAGTAAAGATGGTGTTGAGACACCACTGTGTGTATGCAGGCTGTAATTAATAAATCAGAGAAAAATCTTTTTGACTATGAAAATAGTGCATGTTTCATTATTTGAAAAAAAGGTGAATGGAAAAGAAACCGTGAACAAAAGCTGGAATAATTTGCCTAATTATTTTTCCAACTGTATAATCGTGATGTGGCATTTGTTTATGCTAACATAATTCTGTCAATTTGATACTCCTTTTCCCAGTACTGAAGAGATCCTTTAAGACAATGTGTATTTTAGCAGTTATTTCCTGGTTTCCTGTAAAAATGTATGCTAAATAATTTTTGGTACTACTTAATAAAAATTTTATGTCAATAAACATAGCTTTTGAGGTTTAAGCAACCTTAATTTAACATTCTAAAAATAGATATTTTTAACGGTTTTAACTTTCTGGGTTCTTTTTTGCTTAAGAATACATTTTAAGATGATTTATTTACTGCAAATGGTAGAAGATTTTGACATTACTCAGGAAAAGTTTAATTAAATTATTGCATTATTTAATGAATCCTGCATTAATAATTTTATTAAGCTGCCTGCAAATTTAAATGGTTGAAAAGTCAATAAAATAACAAAAGAATGATATAGATGATCCTTAAATAAAATTTTTGAATACTGTATATAAGCAACCCTGTGCTAAACCTGCTGTTTCTGTATATAATAATTAAATTTTGAACTCAAAAGCTAAACAAATAATTTTGATATGTCACAGGACTGGAGGCAGGGATAGAAGGTTTCAAAGTATAAAAATATTTTTCTAGTATTATTGAGAATTCTTGTAATTAGTATCCATAAAAATTAGCTTTTTAAAGTATTTCAATTTTAAGAACTTTCTTCCTTTAGTCTTCCTTTTAAAAAATAAATAACACCCTGAAAGAAATACTTGCCTTATTTTAAATTAGGGGGTTTAGTGTTTGGGGTTTTCTCACGGCTGCCGTTTTCAAGAAAGATGTCTTTTCTAAATGTTCGGTATTTCCATTTAGACGCTGGCTTTATGAATAGCAAATATAGGCCAGTAATTGAGAAGCCCTGTAGAATTTTCCTGGTTTTCAGATGTAGAAAATCACCCTTAGGTTGTTCAGAAACTATATTAGGCTGCACAAAAACCATCCAGCGTCCTTGTCAGAAAAAATCAGCTTGAGCTGCAGCTGACAGAGTGCAGAGCTTGCAGTGCACCTAGTGCTGTTAAAACCATCTGAATGGCTCTATCAGCCTCCTGCATGAAGAAAACCCATTTCTCCTAGGATAGCATAGGGGTTAAAATTTATCGAAAAGCATGCTCTAAATCAGTATTTTCCGGAAACTTTTTAAAAGTCATTTTCAGGGCGCAGACCGAAGTACTTCTCATTCGAGCTTCCGTGGTTATCAGTAACCCATAAGCCTTGTTTTGCTGGCTGCTTACTGGTGCATTTAATAAAATAAAGATCACTCAGTGGTGCCGTGGGCAGCATGCAAGGTGATAGCCATATTTGCTTACTGTAAATACAAGAGAAAATCACACACAAACCGGCTGTAGTTTTGACAAGTATTAAGATCCCTCTTTACATCTGTACTTCTGTACCAAAGTGCAATTAGTTTTCCTCGCACAAGGATTTCTGTTTATCTTATTCTGCTTGATTACTTGAGTATAATCGCACCGTTTGCTTCATTGCTCCTGGTAGTAAGCTCCAGTTTAAAAAGGGGAGGATGAGTGTGTGTAAATATACAGAATTCTGCTGTAAGACTCTAATTTATGCATCCGGATGACAGCGTTTTCTTAATTCTTTTCCCTCCTTTACTCTTTCTTTCCACAAGGTTTGGTTCATGTACATCAGATTCCTCGGCTTAATAGCTTGATCTGTGATGTGTCAGACACGAAGGACCTTGCTTTTAGATTAAAAAGGAAGCTGTTCACCATTGAGGTAAGAGAAACAGTTTTGTTTCACTATTTAGAACCCAAAAGGTGGAGCTAATCGCATCTCTTATGTTTTGTTTTGTGAAATGCATAAAATATGCATCAGATGTTGTAAATTCATTTCATTCTGGTTTTGCTGTTCAGAACGGTTTTATAAAATATTGTAGTATGCCTTCTAATTAAAAATGTCTCATTTGCTGCACTAAATCGGTCTGTTATAAATAGTTTATTTTGGTTTAAAATGTACATAGAAAGTAGGCCACAACCTTCAATAACAAAGCGTGACATGTTTCTAAGGATGTCAGGAGCATATTTAATTAAATGTTAATGACTTGCTCTTACTTGTGTTAGTGGGTGGGAAAGTAGCTACATGTTATTACCCCAGAAGAGGGATTTTAATGTATAATGCTGCCTAAAATTGTGTGTGGTATGAGGGATAAGTGTCCTTATCAGTATTCAGAAACCATTTTCTTTGCATTACTGAAATCACCTTTCGCTCTTTTATGTCATTTTAAACACAGTATCATTTACACTAATGTCCTTAAGTAAATTTCCTACTAAATTTAAACTTTTTTCTGTGACCTTTATGCAGACAGTCCTGATAGAAGGCAGTAATACAAAAGATGTATTTCATTTTAATCTTGCTAAAGAGCAAATGAACATAGCACTATTAAGCAATTAGAGCTGATGTATTTATTAACCAAGTAATGCTTGGAGATGGGAGATGGCTTTCGGGGTGATGCGATAGTCATCGGTACAGTCTGGGCAAATTTTTTTTAACAAAGACATAAAACAGCCAAGCATCCCTGACAAACCATTTTGTTTAATCTCTTTTCAAATGAAAAGCTCTTAAGCAGGCCACTTGTCTTAACTGCTTGAAACCATAAAAAGAGAGAATTGCCACCAATAAATTAGCATATTTTTTACTCCATCACCAAATGATGGTCAATGTGGCTTGGCACTGCTTTGGTGTTTGGGACTTCACCCTTAAGTGACCACTTTGGCCCTTATTTGACCCTCTGCCCTTTTTAGCTGGCCACTTGATAAGGTAACTTAAGGGTTCTCTCTCTTCACTGCCCCCTCCCCTTCACAATTGCAAGTAGCCCTAACCTATAAATCATTGAAAGGGCCCTATCGAGTGACAAATTAAGGTGCCCTCCTCCTAATTAATGGTCATCAATGTCTTTAATTATCTAATCCTATTGAGAGTAGTTAATAGTTAATCAGGCAGCCAGTTCTTCGTGCAGGTCATCTCTGCATGAGTGCTAGAAGTTTCTCAACTAGAAGTATCCTCTTCAGAAGCCACTTAAAGGCAAATACATGCAGGAGGCCTTTTTTCTCAAAGCCATGCCTTTTTAATGTTTCTCACTTTCCAGAGAGTGTGGTTAGCAAAACCAGGCATTGTGAGGTATTAAACCATTTTAACAACCGCTTGGGAGCAGTACATTAGAAACAAAAACCTTAATAGTCCGTGTTTGGTTTTGAAATACAAATGGTCTTACTCTTTCAGAAGTGCAGAGAAGTGTGCACCCTCATTTCATAGCATAGTAAATTCTTATTTATTATAGCTATGAATTAGAATATTAGGGGTTTTTTCCTCACTGTGAATCCTGACTCAGAATATAATTTTTTCGGTCAGCCATATTTGGGATTCTAATTTGTAATGCAATTTGAAAGAAAAAAGAAAAGAAAAGCAAACCTTAGCAGGAGGCTCTGTAAAAAGAATTGAATTAGCCATGGGGCAGAAGCGTTGGAAACGGGTGTAGTGGAACTCTTGAAACAACCTGTTGCCCTAGACATGCGTAGATGACCCACTTGTGTAATTTCTCCCTTCATTGCTCAGCTGAAGCCCCTTTTGAATAACTTCATGTTTTGTTAGAGATATGCTTTCTATAAGCTGAACTGACACAAACTAGCCCTTCTTGAACAGGTTAGATCACTGTCCTACCGTGATCTTCCCGTACACATTTCACTGATCTATAATACGTATGTTTTTCTTCCTCATACTATTAGGGGAGGCAGACTACAGCTAGGCTGACTAGAGCAATGAGGTCAATAAGAAAATGGGAGCAAGGGAAAATTGAATTAAGAAGGCATGTGAATACAGTCTTCTAAAATGGGTTTCTGCAGTTAGAATGTGATGAGTCAGCAGTCAGGTTTGGTTCTGGTGGTAAAAACATAAAGCAGCAAAACAGCGTGCAGGCGTTCCAAGCAACAGTGTGCTTTATACAAAGTACAACTGAGTTTATGACTTCTTTAGTATGTAGCTTAAATGTGAAATGAAAATATATTTTGAGTAAGTTACAGTTTTTGGAAAGCTTCTGCTTAGTTATATACACAATTTAGGGTAAAAAATATTGACCTTTATTTGAAATGCCATTTTAAAATCAAATTACTAGAAAAGTTAGAAATACACAACCTATGATTTATGGCAAAATTTCTCCAAAAAGGGTTTTCACCACTAGACCATTCTTTTTTTACAGATTAAAATACAGACATGGGACATGGGTTTTCTCATCTCTGGATTGCTCACCAGTTAAATAACTCTTTATCGTTTGGCCCTCATCAGTAAAAAACATTAAATGTCAAATCCTTTTTATTAGATTGCAGTTTTGTGGGAGGGACTCCGCCTCTTTATAGTCTGCAGAATCATTTAACTGTTGCAGTTTTTCTTGTATCTTCTTCATCAAAATAAGACTGACTGAAATGTATTCTAAAGGGATTTTTTTTAAATTCAGGATGAAAATGTTTTTAATGAATATTTATGAGTTTTCATTTTCCATTTGTAAATTGTGAGGTAGACCCTTTCCAGGAAAACTTACATGTTTGTGGTAAAAGGCGCAGTAGCTAGATCAAGCTTTTCCAAATCTTCACTCGTTAGTTACTAGCAATACATTATTATATGCAATATTATCAGAGGTCTATCTTATGTGCATACCACTTTAAAGGACACAATTTTGAAGTTAGCCTGTCTAATCCTATTTCTTCCCACTTTGGAATCTTAATTAGAAGGAGATAAAAACCATCATTTGACTAAATTATTGTCTTGAATCTGTAGCAAAAGGTATAATCCGCAATTGGGCCAATTAGTGTACCCCATAGTTAGCTATGCTGAGGCAGGAAACTTGATTAGATCTGACACCAGCCTAGTTCCCACTGTTGTTTTGCCAGGTATGATGGTCAGACTTCAAAGGGCTTGAGGCATCAGCAGGGCAAGGTTTGGAGGCCAGCTTAGGTCCGGTCGTTAATCTCTCTGCTAAAACCACAGCAGCCCTCGCACAAAACAAGCTTACACGACACAATCATGCGGTATTAAAGTTTGGGTTGAGTCATGCCAATTTGCCTTTGATTTTCTGATGATTGACTAAAAGATGGCTACATGACTAGACACATACTGAAAGTTTACTGATTAGGTAAGTTCCCCAAATATTTGAAATATTTTTTGATTTCTCATTTAAATGATATGACAACCCGTTCATCTTAATGAAACTTCTCAGCAGAATTGTTCTTGAAGCACTCTTTGCTTTGTTTGTAGCTCTGAATGTAACTTTTATCAACATTTGATACGTTTTGTAGGAACATTATGTTCATAGTTTTATTTGATAGAACTTTATTTTTCTTATTCCAAAGCCTCCTGTATCAAAACTAAAGGAATCTGTGCCTAAATTTGACTTTTTTCCACTCCTCGCAATTTCTAAGGAAACGTTGTTTGTCTTTGTTATTTAGGTACATTTACAATTACTCGCAAAAAGGGAATTTCCTCTTAATTATTTTCCACCTCACCGTTGAGTAAAGCACCATTCCACGGCTGCGATTACATAAGTGTTCCTTTCTTTGCAGTCTGATTTGTTGAAATATTGCAGTAACAGTGACATGTTTCCATTCTGAGAAAAGCCTAAGGCTGCTTTAGTATTATTCCAAATGATTGAAATTGCCATCTTGCTGACTTTCCCTTGGGCAGCTTAAGGCCTGTTTACTTTTGTATTTGTTTCACATGTTCCCTCTGAGTTTGGCTGGCAGGACATCATTACCTGGTTTGACAAGACAGTTGGAGAAGATTCATATTTGATTAACTCCCTTTGTTACTGTCTGGTCAACATAAACCTCTGACATTAGGTATTTAAAGTTAAAAGTTTTGATAAATTCAGCCTAATGTTTGCAAATGGGAAAGTTTTTAAGGTGTGGGGTTTTTTTAATTCCCTAGTTTTGCTTTACTGCTGATTTTTTGAGTCTTCGGGTAACAGTCAATTGTTAATACTATGGAGAATAAGCTTTTTCCTACAAGCTGTATAATATAGTTTGCCTATAAAATAATTATGAATTTTTTTTTTTTTTTGATCAATACACAAGTAAGAGCCAGCTAATAAGGTTTTCTTTTTATTGGCTATACAACACTTGTGCAAACCAGAATAAAAATCTGTTAAAAGACAGCTCAGTTTGAAGCCAGGGTGTCATATACTATATAAAGAATTGCCACACAGCAAAAATAAGTAAGCTTCCAGAGCTTAATATATAAGTTCAGGAGATTCTTTTCAGAGAGGTGTTTCTTAACAGGAGGAGAAGAAAGTCAGAATTAGAGGAGTCCTGTGGCAGGAAAGTTGCTGGTTTCTCAGTAGCGGAGACATACAATATGGAACTATGGAGTGCTCTGCAGTGCATTTTGGAAGGAAACATAATCACAAAGAACAGCAATTGAATCTATATAGAATTAAAAACAAACGTATGATTCCAAAGATATTAAAATAATGTCATTTCTTCATCTATCAATAAAGGACTATAAGAAAAGCAGTTGCCAAAATAAGCAAGATTTGATTGCAACTCCAAATGTTCGTGTGTATGTTACGTGTCCAGCATTGGTATTTGGAAGAAGATTTAAAACTCTTTTAACATGATGAATTTGGCAATTAAAACCAGGAAATGTATCTTAGGTAGCTTCCATCTGAAATCTCTGTATTTCTACGTTTGTTTTTTTTTTTATATTGCTTGTTTTGTACAGACTGGAGTCTG